GGTAACAGACCTCTTCTTTGCCCCTCCAGAAGGCTCAAGTGGTGGAATTTGTGGCTTTGTCAGAAAGTCCAGAAGTTTGATCCCTAATTACCCATGCTCATTGCTTGATCAATTTGCATTTACGTATCAGTATTCTACAGTTACTTATAATTTTTTGCTTGTCATAGTGGGATGTCTCTCCCAGCATTTAGACTTTGATAGACTTTTTTTTTGTGGATGATATAACCTTTTCCTTGTTTGTGTTTTGTTCTCTCTTTTTTTTTTGTCCTGCTGGAGGTTAACTATTGATAACATCCTGTGGAACAGAGTTTGAATGCTTTTTTCTATTATTATTATTTTTATTAATTAAACCCCAAGTTTTGGGGCTTATTAGAACCCTTTAATCCTAGGCCAATGTAACAAGTAGCAGTCTAATAAAAATAATAATGTTGGGCTTCCTGCCATTACAAATGTTGACTTACTCATATAAAGCTGGCTAAAGACTAGTAACTTTGAAAGTATAGGAGCATGGAAATTTTGCCAGTAATGTGAGGTCAGAAACAGAGTGGTTCTGTGTTGGTTTTTCTGTGTGGATTATGTTTGAAACACAGATTACTGTGCAGTTTCAGGATCTTCCGTTTCTTACACTGTTGACTCTTTACAGTCTAGTTTCAATTAAAACATCTTTCACTGATGAATATTTGCATGGAACAGAATTAAGTCTTTGGTTTCTAGGTTCCCAGATAGACAGAATACTAAAAGGAAAGAATAACCAGTGTATTTTTGATTAAAATTGAAGAAAAATAGTGGCTGGAGATAGAGAATTATTACCATAAATAATTATTTCAAAATGTGTTGGCTATGTGAAATTTTTAACATGTGAAATTGTAAGGTGGACCCTAAATAAAAGGTTTCAGCAAGCATTGCCAACACCAGCTATTTTGTATGTATTGGGGGAATTTTCATCACTTTTGAAGGTATTTAGGATGACTTTTAATATTATAACACAGTAAGTTCTTGTGAAAGGTTTCGGGTACCGCTTGTTTTATGGATCGACTTATAATCGCTGGAAGCCTCTTTCGTTGGATTTATTTTTTCAATATAATCAGAAGAGTGAACACAACAGGAGTGCTGTGCACTGGCAGGAGACAAAAGCGTAATGATCCCTCTGGGAAAATAGTTTCCCTTGTTTGTCAAATTCGGCACCACTTCTCTGACTTGTCGCCTGTTGGTGATAAGAGATGGGATAGTCAGGTGGAAAAAAAGGTTAACCAGTGGTGGACGTAGACTTGATTTTACTGTTCTCTGGGAGGAAATCAGTGGCTCAGCTGGTCAAAAGCAGAGGCTGAAAGCGCTTTGACAGGAGGCACTAGAACAATGGAAGACCTATTATGTGGCACCAAGACTGCTGCTGTGGCCTTCAGCACGTGTTATCCAGGTCATTGGTTCTTTGCAGATACTCCAAAGGGAATCTGGTCTAGTTCTTTTTGTTTCCTTTAGTTTTGTACATTAGAAAATTAAAATCAATCGCTTGCTAGGATAATTTAGCCATCAAACTGTGATGATAAAGCTGTGGGTGGTCTTGTGAAGTGACACTGTATAGAAAACTAATCAATATTATTAAATGGTTTTAACTTGTTCTGACAGCAAAGCGCTTGGAGCTTTGGGGAATTTCCATTTCTATATACACTACTGAAAGAGTCAATTTGCTTTGTGCATGAAGAGCGTGAAAAGTCTTAGCCTTTTCCCTTTGATTCCTCCTAGCTTTTTCTGTCTGTGTTGTATGTTATTGGATCTAATATATCCTGTTAGGTTCTGGTTTCATTGATGACAAGAAAAAAAAAAATCAGTTGTCAGTAAATTGCAGCTAATGGAAGTGCCTGCTCCTTTGAAGGGTCTTCTGCTTTAACATGCTTCAGTGCATGGTGAATGTTCCTGCTCCAGGAACAGCTGCTGAATGCTGAAATTCAGGCTTTTAAATCGTAGTCTCTGTGTGTTAGAGATGAAAAAAAAGGGTATCAAAATTATCTTCTTGTGAAGATGTTGTGGTTTTGAAATGATCTTGTCACAATTTTAGAAAGCAGCACTTAAATTCAGTTGCCCAGGGAAAAGAAATGACTTATATGTAATATATATATATATATAAAATATATATTTGTAATATGCTTTAAAAGCTAGAGCTTCCTTTCTTATTCAGTGGTTTAGGTAATTAAGGTTTGAGTTTAATACATAAAAGATATGAGAAATACAAATGCAAACAGAAATAGGATCCACAAAATAAATTATAGTAGAAGCAGTTCTAGAGAACTGCATCCTCCGTGCCAAACTGGAAGAGTGACGTGCCATGACATCTTTAAACTTGCTTCTTAGCTAAGAGTTTCCTTTCTCAGTTCTGTGATTTTGGCTGATTATGGCACTGTGGTTATGCTAATCTGCCTTCCTGTGAATTCCCCAGAAAAGTATGTGATAGAAATATACTCTGTCAGAAGGACATAGCAGCTCTTTGAAATGTCCACTGTGTATTTTCCAGAACTATCCAGATTTTGGACACAATGACTTGTTTTCCTATTTTTTTTTCCAGTTCCAAGAGTTCTTTCTGAAGGTGTGTGTGCATGCACAATCTTTTCCAGCTTTTATTTTCACTTCACTAAATTCAAATATGCAAATCTCACTGAAGTCATCCTGAGTTCAAATATACAACTCCCTCCAAAAGCCATGTGCTCCTTGTTCGAGTGTAGTCAGGTATTAATTTGACTTCTCTTGACTGTTTAGCCTTTGAAGTTTCTGCACTCATGTTTCCGCCAGCTTTATTTAGCCTTATATCAAATTTGAAGTACTGTGAGATTAACATCACTTGTTCATATATTCCAGCACCACATTTTGGAAACTTTGCCCAACTGTAGGCTGGATCTTTTTGTTTTCTGACTTGCTTCCCTTACTGTTTCAGGAAACTCTTATTTCAAAACTCTGAAATGCCTTTTTTCTTTTTTTAATACCAATAACAAGTTTAAAAGGTCAGGCAAACCATTCTAACTCCTGAATTTTCTCTGTCATAACCTGGATCACATCCCAGACTTGGATAGGTAATAATTTGTTGCAAATGGATCCAGCCTCTAAATCCCTGAGTGCTGTCTGCATCTAAGCTCCCTGAACTGGTGGGGAAGGGTGGGAAGGAGGGAGGGAGGATCAGGGCCTGGGGCTGCCTCGGCCTCCTTTGCGCCCAGTCAGAGGTGCCAGTCTTGAGTCCAATGTTTGTTCTTCCTGGAGCCTCCTCATGCTGGACACTGGTATTGCACAGCTCTTCTCAGTCCCATGTGCTTAGATCTGCTCCCCATGAGGTTTTATGACTGTGGGATTAAGAGTTAACCAGAAGACCAGAGATTTTTCAGAGAATATCGCAGTAAAATAAGGAACATATGTGTAAAACTCCTAACCACAAGCAGGTTTGTTGCTTGTTTGTTTTTAGGAGATTTGGGAAGCAGCTCCTGGAATGCGATCCTCTGACCTTACTGGCCTAATGTGCAAGTGCAGATTCTGTCCAGGACCTAGGGTACAGCAGAGTTGTTCATATGCATGCTCTAGGGACACCTTGGGCTATCTCTGAAGAAAAAGGGAAAATCATACCTCTTTTCGCTTCCTCCTCTCTCTCAAGGGGGAAAAAAAAAATGACTTCCCTTCTTTTGACTTGGGCTAATCTTCTCCAGGGTTATTTGATGCTGTGCAACAATTTTCACAGCTGCTGGAGGTTTATGTGCCCCACATAGCAGAGCAAATTAGGTCCTGCTCTGAGGTCTTAGATTGCAGGTTTCATGCAGGCATTAATAAACTCAACTGCAGGCACATGCAGACTGTGGAAGTATTGGAGTGGGGACAGGCTCCTTTCACAGCTGGTGCTGTTTGCGCTTTGGTTCATGTGAGGGTTTTGCAGTGCACTTGAACAAAAAGCTGCAGAGATGCAGTGACCTATGGATGTATATTTTTTCATAATTTCACTTGTTAGTAGATTTCACATATTTCTGGACTGCCAGGCTAAGAGTTGGGTGGAATGACTGTGCACAACTGTGAATAGATCACAGCGTTGGTGTGAAAGGTCTTTCCGATGGAGGAGTTTTTAACTTTCAAACAAGATACAGCCATGAAGTATAGACCAGGTTGTACTTCTTTAAATCAGTTTTGTCTTTTAGCCACAGGCCATATGCATAGCAGCAAAGTAACAAGATAACAGAAGGGCTACAGCAATAAAGCAGGAAATTCTTTCTTATGATCCACTTCTCCCTGTTCTCAGGAAGGTTTGTATAGCCTTGAATCCCAGGTTTTACTTTAGTCACACTGGAGATAAGTCATGCCCAAATAAGCTTTGCTGCTAATGCAGAGCAAAAGTTGCCAGTGAGAGCCGCGGTGCTGGCAGCGCTCGCTGGCGCCCGTGTCCGCTCCCCGCAGTGCAGCGGGATGGAGATGGAGCAGGCGCAGCCCCGGTGCCGCCGGAGCGGCAGGAGTGACGTGCTCGAGAGCCACAACGAAGACAGCAGTCGGTGCCCAGCCAGTTACAGCGGGAGCTTAAGGGCTTTGCCTAGGGAGGCCGAGAGAAGTGTGCAGTGGTGCTGCAGTGACGTAGAGAAAATGCTCCATCAAAACCTGTGTCGAAGAGATGGTTACTGAAAAGGAAGGAATATGGATTGCAGTGCCATGTGGAAGAGAAGGGTGCAGCCAGACTTAGGCTGCAAAACTGCCTTAATACTAGGTTTTCTGTGTGGAAGAATACAATATTTTTGCTACAGGCTTTAACACTTAGTCCCTCATTTCAGAAGACATTTGGAGAGTTTCTAATCAGCCTGCTGGGAAGTCAATTAAATTTGTGGCTGCTTCTCACCTTCCCTGTGCTGTACTAATGGGACAGAATTTTTCTTGCCAGTAATGCAGATCACCATCATTGCTGCTGCTGGCTTGCCTTTTTTTTTTTTTTCTTCCTTTTTTTTATTGGTGCCAGAACAGATGACAAACCTGCATTATTTACAGAAGGATTCAGATCTCTGAACAAGAGGATAATAGATGAGATGCATTTCCTTAAAGATGTCTTTAGGAAATCAGAGGCATAGGAAGCCTACACAAACTTTATAAACATGGCTGAAAAAGAAAGATGAACTGCTTTAGGATGTCCTTGAAATATGATGTTGGATGGATTTTTTTAATGTCTCTTGGAAGGTTTGGCTCTTTCTCTGTCAAAAGTTGCCTTTTGCATGTGCTGTTCAAGATCTGTTAAATGTCAAATGGAGGTTGGGAAGCCAAGGGTAACTGTTCTATTTTTATGTACTTACAATAACTTTTTTTTTGTACTATGATATTTATATTGTTCTTATCTGCAAAACAATTGGCATATTGTTGTATTATGTTAAAGTGATTATGTATTGCTAAAAGGAGGCATGATAGCAGTTAAGTCTTCATGAAAAGCAAATGTTATATGGTAGATTTTTGTTTGTTTCAATTTTGCTATTGTGCTAAATCAAAATGTGTGTAAGCATGTCATTAATATATTCATTTACCTTTATGTATAGGTATGTTCCATAGGAGCGTTCAAAGGATACTTATTCTGTAGCAGATGTTTTGTCTAAATTGTATTTGCTAGAACGAAATACAGCTAGCTAAATATAGAAGCATGTGCTGACAGTGCTAGAAAGCAAAGAAACATAATGAATTCTTCTTAAGCACTCCTTCCAGTGCCAAGATGATCATAGCAGCAGAGCACTGCTGAAAATCTATTTTAAAATTGAGTTAGTATTACAATGTGGTGTTGTCTTTTTGTACCCTTCTGTCTTCCCCTGCTCCGACCATATCTATTGCTCCCTGAATACGTGATATTTCCAGAATTTCCAAGATCTTTATGTACCAACCATAAGTCATTCCTCATTGTCAGCATTAAAAACTGTTATTGTTTATTTTACTACTCTAATTAAACCAGACTTACTAGCTTGCTTTTTATAATGTTTCCTCACAAAAAGCAGCAAAACTGGCAGCACTGTTTATCTGGTTATGCTTACCCCCCTTCTTTTTTTTTTTTTCCTCCCCCCTCCTCTTCTCTTCCTCCCTCCACTGCCTGATATTTCTCCCCCTAATACAGGAGCCGAGTACCAAACGGGTCAAGCCTCTTTCCAGAGTTACATCACTAGCAAGCCTCATTCCTCCTGTACGGACCACTCCACTGAAGCGCTTCAGCCAGACACTTCAGGTAATAACACTCAGTGTTGGCTGTTTTAAATCATATTTCAACAAGAGGAGTGCATGAATATTCACAGTTTATTCTAGAGTTATTGTTTTAAAATCATTCTGCCTGTATATTCATATATGGGTTGTGAGTGCACAAACGCAGCGTGCATCACTGATGTTTTATATATTGTCTGTTTAAACAACAAAAAGGAATCCCCATACCCTCTTGCAACAAAAGATGCAATAAAAGGTGTGTGAGGGCATGTACCGACAAATGCAAGTGCTGCTGCTAAAACTGTGTAATTGCCATAATTGTCATGAGGTGGTTTATATTTCTTATTCTGTACTAAATAGTTGCATATTCAGTATTATAACTGTCAGAATTCAGTTAGGATCAGCAGGCTTCTAAAAAATCCATCCATCTTTATTATTTTTTGTAGCTGAAATGTAATTTATAGATATATTTCAAATACACATAGCCTCACTCACTACTCTAATGCAAGGAACAGGTTAGATAACTTAGTGCTATGGAGTCTATCAACTTTCAGCTTAAGCCTCGCTTCACAGTGAGTGTTCAAAAGACACTTCTCTGTCCAGATAAATCATGCTTTGTAATTACCAGGAAGAAAACATTACACAATATCATATAGAAGTTATTTTATGAAAGGAGTATGACAGTTGCCAGTTTCTGTGTGAATTTTAATGAAGAACAGTTTTTTTCTCTTATGTATATTCTCTAAATTTTGTTTAGTTTCTTTGTTATTTATGACATAGTATTATAGCACTCCTAAATTTCTTTCTGTATTGTTAACTTTGACCTTCTTTAAACAAAAGGTTTAATGACCAATTGTAAAAAGCCATTTTCTAAAGCTGATTATAAAAATAATTAAGAGGAAGCAAATATGAAATGCAATTTAGAAATGAAATCGTTTTGTAGTTTCAATTTCCATATTAAGTGCATAGTATTTAATATACTTAGAGATTAATGGGACTTGAATTTGTAAAGCATTTCATATGTTGAGGCCTAGGAACTTCAAGATATGTGTGGGCTTGATCTCCTGTTGTTTCTGAGGAGTGTGAAGGAGGGCTCAGATGCTGCTGTGGGCCTGGCCTAGAGAGCTCTGAAACATTTCACTGTTTCCTGTTTGAAACAATGCAAGTAAAAGACTTGTGTAAAATCCGAGGAGAATTATGCAACCAGGTTATTTGCTTTGAAGAGAGGACATACAAAAATATCTTGAATCTATGAAGAAGGTTACTTAACCAAAATTAGCTCAATCAGAGCATTAGTAATGTTATCGTTAATCAGAGAGAGAAAAAAAAATCGCTGCTTTAGAACTAGAAATCTTGTGCAAAGTACCTATAAAGGCATGGAAAGGTATTCAGCACAGGGAGTTTACCTAGCAAGCAGATATTGCAGGGTTTGTTTAACATGTTGTTTCCTGTGTTCTATCCCTCGGTTTTGCAAGCGCAGTCGTCCGCTTACTGAAGGGCAGTTGAGGGCCTGGGGGAGGGCGAGCTGGCTGGGCGCGCTCGAGGCCTTCCATCCAGGAGGTACATGGTAGCGTGACTGCGGCTGAGAGGCCTGCGCTCCCTGGGGTGGATCAATCTCCTCCGCAGTCTGCCTGAAAGCAAAAATTGGCCCAGCTCTGAAAGATGAACTGTATTAGTTCCAGTTGTGAGGAGTGTGGAAAGCGAATTAATTCTTGGCTCAACTGCTTCTGAGCACAGCACTTCCCCTCCACGGCCTTCAACAGCTGCTCTGCTCGTTTACGGGCCTCTGCCCTTCTGTAGCAACATGATATTCTATCCGAAAAAAGCTATGCTTTCCTGCACTAACTGCCTCTCTAAAATTTAGTGAGTTACGTGATGCATTTGCAAATTTTGACAAAATCTAGGTGAGAAGGGTGCTTGTGTTCCCAGCCCTCCTGTTTGGAGTATTTCTATCTCACTCTCATTGTTCCTGTTGATTTTAAGAATATTTTTTAACCAACTGTCTGCTTCTAGGCAGACTAGGCAGTGATGTTGTTCATACCATTTAAGTATTCATACCATAACTCTAAGTAACTATGTGTGGGAAGGAGTTGTGGTGAGAAATCAGCCTGAATGATCTCCGAGTGCGAGGTCTGAATCCACTACTAAGTGCTGACTGCTGCTCCTGTCTCTCAAAAGTGCCTCTGTGGCTGTATGAAATTGACTTTTTGTTCGATTGTTGTCAACAGTAATAACACAGGGAAAATGAATTGTCTTGCCTATTGTGCTCAGGTGTTCCCTTTGAAATTCTTTAAAACATTTTGTCAGTCCGTACTGCCTCTCTATGGAAATGCTTTGCTTGAATTTTTTTTTAAATTTATTATGTATTGACATGACTGTCATGGTGCCCTGTGGAACAATATAGAGTGTGTGTGTGTTTTTTTTTTTTTTTCCTCTTTGTTTTCTAGTACTTTCAAATTAAAAAGAAAACTAAGTATTAATTTTTCTCATTGGGCGACTTTTCAGTATGTCTCTATTGTTAAGACACTTCATTCAAAAAGCATGTCTGTTCATAGATTACTACTGAATTTTCTTCATCCGTAAAATGAAGAAAACTGCTGTCAACACAAAATCCCAAATAACCTCTTCCTCTTTCCTGGGTGAGGGCGTATAGAGAGGGAAACACCCCTACCCTACAGAATGTACAACCCAGAAGACCAATACAAAAGCATTGATAAAAAGTTTTAGAAAATACTGGTCATCTTTTGTGGGATTATATACAAACATTATACAATTCTTGTTGAATGGAAGATATGTGTAGAAAAAGAAAAAGCTTTTTGTGCATAATTTCCCTTAGCTTTGTAAATGTCATGTCCATTTGATATTAATGGTCCTTCTGCATGCAGGCCCAGGAAGAAATACCTGAGATATATGTAGTGTTTTGTTTGAAATGCTTTATGACTGCCAGTTTTGCATGTTTTATTGATTATAGAGGTATTAGATTTTTTTGTGCATCTTAACACTTATCTTTTTAGTGTTTGTCAATTTACAGTCAGTTCTTTCCACAAAAAATATAAACAAAATATATGAAGTCTGTCTGAAGGCAGGAATTTACGTCTTGCTACCTTTCAGTGCAATATCAGTTCTTGTTAATATATCTTGAGTTTAAATACAGAGTCTGAATTATTTTTATCCTTTTTAGGACACCACAAAATATTTAAGAAGAACTTTTTTTTTAACATCAATTCTGAGTGCTGGGACTTTGATGTATAGGTCTGTTCTTCCAGAAAGTAAATTTGTTTGCTCTACTGCAGCTGAAATTACAGTTGGTTTATTGCACGATCTAATACCAATTACAGATGGACCCTTCATAGTAACAGTCCTGTATCAGCCTGTGGAAATTACTGCAGCCCAATAAATATAGCAACCAAAAGGCAGGGCTTGTAGCCTGATTCTCCTCTAGTCCCTCTAATTTTTGAAACTGTGTGAAAATAATCCTGAATTTTAAGGGATACTTTTTTTTTTTTTTTAAACCAGTCTCCTGTGCATGCGTTTTAAGCAGACCATAACTAATAAACATTTTTGAGACTGAAAATACAGAGATACTATTTTGCCATTTCTACACATCCTCAATAGACTTCTATCACACCAATGATTTCTTCTATGGGGCAAGTGCCAAGGAAGGGTGGCATCAGAGTATGTTTAAACTTGTTCTTAAAAGTCGCCATCAGAACATAAACTGGGAAATGAGTTGAACTTGAGAATTGAGATGGTTACAAGGATGTTATAAATTTATCCTAGATTATCAGAGCATTTAATGAATGCTTTTATTTAGGGTTTATGCTTCTGACATTCTGGTGGTTACAGCATTACAGATTCAAGTTTACTTGACTCAAGTGATGGCCAAGTATTCATGTTAGTGATAACTAGTTATTTTCTGGTGATGCATTAGTTGGTCCCTTCTGACAAGCCAATTTGCAGAACTTAAAGGCAAAAGGGGAAAGCAATTATGCTAATATAAGTTTGAATTTCACACTGAAGTGCATGATTCCTTTCCTAGTTACATTTCAGTACATCAGATGAGGTTAGTAACTGCTTTGCTTTTTCTGTGCCATTGTTTGGAGCAAGGGAACAAGACAAACCACTCACTCTTGAAGTGAGCTTTGTTCCAAACATTCAATAGCTCCTCACAGCTTTTCTGTTTTTCTCCTGGAGGTATATTTTCTAATGCAATTAGTTATAAATACTAACACAGCATTGCTTGCTAATTTTAGACAAGGCATATTCTGTTTGATAACCAAAAGGCTGCACTATAAAATAAATAAATAAAACAATAGTCTAGAAAAGAGAGTTACTAAGGAAGCAAGCACGATTTGGGTGAGTTTGGTTTCGTTTTGAGTCTGTTGGCCTTTTTGTGTCCCTTTTGGGCTGCAGTAGACAATACAGGGCTGTAGAGAAGAGTATGAGGCTTTTTGATGCAGTGCAGAGGAGTTTAGGTTATTGCTATCAGCTGGCATGAAAACTTACCGCTCTGAGCGTACTGTAGGTAGTTTCAGCTTGTTATTGCACCGTGCATATGGATGCATGTCATTTTGTAACATGATACATGACTTTTTCTTAACAGGTTTCAAGATCAAGATATTTACTTTAAAGATAGGTCTATCTGATGCATTCACAAGCAGTATCTTCATTCAACATGAAGCATTCCCCCCCTTTTTTTTTTTAAAAAAAAAAGGAAAGAAAAAAAAGCTGGAAATTGGGGGTGTTTGTGGGCATGCATGGAAGGGAGTTTCCACCTTGGGTCATGGAGTGACAACTGTTTTGCTTGGCTGCATTCTTCTACATGGTGGTTTGTGGATACAACACGCTTGCCGCCTCTTCTCCTCAACTCTGTCCATTTGCATGGGAAAATAATCGATTTCATGATTCATCTGTTATAACAAGCACAAATTAAGCATATGATTTCATGCGTGTTTCTTTATCTTTCTAAATCTTTGAAGGAAAGCTATCACCTGATATGCAAAGTTTTTAAAGGTTGGGGTGTGTGTGTGTGTGTGTATATATATGTGTGTGTGTATTTGTGTATCTATGTTTGTGTATTTATATACATTTTAGGGGTTTGTCTCTATATACATTTTAAGTGTTTGGTAACTACTAATGAGGGCTGAAGATGCATTTTGTTTAAAAAGGACTAATTTTGTTTATGTAGTATGACAATTTAAAAACTCTGCATTTATAAACATTATTTGCATTTCATGAATTCTTATCTTTGGAGGAGAATTTCAACTATTTTGCTTTGTACACACTGATTTCAACCTGGAAATGCAGAGAAATTATGTTTTAAATGCTTTTGCCTAAGGCAAATGAAAGATGACTGCTATGTAAGATAGGTTTTAAATAAGAACAAAAACGTAGAGTATTTCAACAATCTGGAGTGCCTCAGGCATTTAAGAGGTAGGATCTGAGAAAGCAGCCACTTGATTTGAATGAGGCTAAACAAAATCTTTTAAGAATATTATGATGAGAGCATGAAGTGTCCATCTTCAGCCTGGACACTTGCTGAGAGTCTACAGGCAGATAGAAGTGGCAATTCTCAAAAGTCTACTTAAATTTCAGTAAAAAGTCCTATTTTAAGTAAAAGTCACATAAAAGACATAGAAATGTTGGTACACGTCATCTCAGTTCAGAAGCTGCAGAAATATTCATCAATGTACAGCAATAATTTCCATATTAGTATTTTGTCATTTGTTACCTGCTGACGCTAATTATGTTTAATGTGTATTCTTTAAGTGCTAACAAAGTGGTGCAAAATGAATATGGCTTCTTATAAACCTTAAAAACCGAATTGTGGGATAGGTCTTTTGAAAGATAATGTGATCGTGCTTCTGTCTTCAGCGATATCCATTTCACACATTTCCATATATATTAGTTTCTTGCTCTTAAAATGCATCTGAAGAGGCAGGAAGTTATTGATTGAAAGAGTTTCTTGAAGTATAAAAATAGTTTGGTTGGGCACAACGTTAAAGTGCGAAAAATTTCATCCTGGTTATTGTTTTATCTGGAATAGCAATACCGTTTGAATCTCTCATGATTCTAAAAGCTTAAGTAAAAAACCTTGCTACTCTACTATCAGGTAGCAAGACACTGAAAAGTTAAGAGGAGAGGTGGTTTCGAGGGGCCGTTTCCCTCTATGAACACTCTGTCTGCCCAACTGAGGAAGCCTTTTTTTAATAAGGCTGCTAATATGTTTTGGGTAATTCATCTTTTCATCTGATATCCTTAAGACAGGACCTACTGTGTAGGATTCTCTGAACACTTACTTCCCTTTCCAATGTACAAAAAATCTTTTGCTACTCTGATAACAGTACACATTGGAATCTACACTTGAACACAAGATGAGTTTATCTGTCAAATTTTGCTATAGTGGCCTTTTTTTAATGTAGTAAATGAATCCTCTGTGAATGAGCCAAAATTGTTTATACTGATTTTGCCTCTAAATCTTGTATTAAATTTTAGTGTTACGTATTAGGAATATATTTAAGTGTGTATGTACTCTGCATGAGTTATTCCTGTCTGACTTTTTACCAACAGAAACTTGGTTTCTTTGCTCAATTATGTTGATGTTTTTTACCATTCTGCCATTATCCTAATAGATCATGTTTGTTGCATGGTATATGGATGGTCTAGTTTTACATACATTGAGAACAGGACATAGACATGGGTCACTGCAGGAATGAAAGTAGTGGCCTTTCAGAAAGATGTGTTAAAATAACTTTTCCTACATTCCCAGTACTAAACATGGCTATAGTAGCACAGTAAGAGCTAAATAGATGTTAGTTCATCATACTTATGTATACGTATAGCACTTTTGGAAATGTTACGTGAAACTTTTCTAACAATACAATTTTTATCTTATTAGCGCTCTATCAGTTTCCGTAGTGAGAGTCGCCCGGATCTGTTGAGTCCACGACCATGGTCTCGAAATATGCCTCCAGCTAACACCAAGCGAAGAGACAGCAAACTGTGGAGTGAGACCTTTGACGTTTGTGTCAATCACATGCTTACATCTAAAGAAATCAAGCGTCAAGAGGTATGGTTTTATTTACTACAAAATTAACTTTTTGAAAGTCACCTTTGAACTGTGAAGCTGA